ATTGTCGATTTTGATTACCAATTTGATTCAAATTACTTGGAACGTTGCATGGCAACAAACTTTTACTACCTAGGCAGTCAAAGTCCACCTTTTCTGCCTGTGGAGTGTATTTGAAAAGCCACTTTTGATGTCATCAATGATTTTTATTAGGAATGGTTATGCTCGAATTCAGATAAATGGCGATTTGATAAGGATTCACTACATGACAATATTCCCAAAAAGATTTTGTCTATCTCTTATTGCAATGGAACTTTTCCATATCAATATACGTGTACACCCGGTATAGTGTTTTCAATTGTCAACACGAATATTCCAACCAAACAAAACCATCCATCTTGTAATGAAGAAAATAATAATGATGTGAATATAACCTCTTCCGGCTTTACGTCATTGGAATAATAATACGTAGCTCTTTAATAACTGCACTGTATCAGAGAGCGCGGTTTGAATATTAATTTTCGGGACGTTTACTGCGATCAAATATTTAGAATAGAACAATTTCACTCAAACTACGACCACGAAGGATGAAGATATATATTATACATACAGTGTGTCTGTAATGAAACTTCAGATTGTTATAACTTCTAATACTCCCTTACCTAACAATAATCATGCAGATTCTAAATTTTACTATGAGGACATAACCCTAATAGCACACAACGTCCTAGGGACGTCCCTATTTGGTACAATTCACGTCCGAATGTCCCGAACCAAAAATAAGTGTCCTTGGGACGTCCCATCCCGTACATCTCATGCAATGTCCGAGCAAGGACGTCCACGCAATGTCCCAGCTGGTATATCATTTCAAATGTCCTAGAAATAGCATCCCTTAGACGTCCCACGTGGTTCTTATTTTAGAATGTCAATGCAAGGACGACCTTGGCATGTTCCTGATGGGATATGATTTTAAACGTTCCTTTAGGGACATTCATCGGATGTCCCGAGTAGTACATATTCTGGCATGCCTTCAGATCTTATATAATGTTTTTTCTAGACAACCTTGGAATGTCCCTGATGGTACATGCCTTCAAATATCTCTGCACAGACGCCCTTGATATTTCCAGGATCGTATAACAATCGAAATGTCCCTTAGGGACATCCTTCGAATGTAGTACTTGATGAAGAATACTGTAGGATTTAGGTATTCGATAGTTGTCCCAGGGACATCCCTCAAGGACGTCCCTAGTTGGTCCTCAAGTGAGACGTTTGTGCGTCCCACAGACGTCCAATGGTCGTCCACGGTATCAAGTTCGAACGTCCTATGGACGTCTTAAGGATATCCATGGGACATAAGTGTGTTATTAGGGAAACTCAAATACAGCAGACTATACGTAAGTAGATCTGACAAAATCTTGAATGTCACAGTGTTCTTGGTTTCGTTTTCAATTAAATGAATACAATATGCCCACCTTAAGCGATTATTTTTGTTAAAAATGTAATTGTGAATAACAAGTTACGGCAATCACTTCATGATAAAGTTTAACATGATCAGAACCTAAATAAAATAGTTGTCATGAAAAATTGGTTTGTAACATTTGTTATCCCATTAAGAAAAAAGTGTGATTGGCCATATTGCCAACACGGTGTCGAGAATATGGCCATGCATACAAAAGTCGAGAATTAAAAAAAATGTAATACTTGTGGAATAATTATCTAAGTTCAACTAAATACAAAAGCTAGAAAATAAGTAGAATAAAAATGATTATTTTTTAGTATTATTAGCGAATTGAATGAATGAAAATGCAGGTATTTAATGTTCTTAGTTATTAAACGCACACAATCGTCAAGATCATCTTTTTGGCAGATAATGCACAGGCGCATATCAAAAATTCCATTCATCTGATACTTATTCCAGGTGCTGACGTAGATTGAGGTACTGTAGCTCATATGCATATTGCCAACTAACTCCGCATGGTGGGCATATTGCTACACATGATTCACATGAAGTTAAATTAGGTTGGGTTATGTTTTTGTCCTGAGTGTAACCTTAATTCGATTGCTTTCCACCACAATCTGAGCGATAATACCCATGCATGGAACACAAAATATTGCAGTTCATTAGCACTGTCTTTTACAACTCAATAATGAAAAACTTGACGTGAAAATATCATACCGGCGTCTTCAAGAAATGATTTTTAGCAACACCAGTCTGAAAACGCTTGCAACTTGCTGTCTAACCGACTGAAATCTGACAGTAGGTTAACAGAACACTGTGTCACAGAACTGTGTGTTTGATGTGTGCTGCCATCGTTCATAAAACAACCAAACTACGGCCCGTGCGCATATTGCAAACATGCGCATATTGTACAGGCTGATTCACGGTGGATGGCACATTAGACGTTTCTGGTGAACCAGACAACGGATCATTTTGAAAATTCAATGGGAGGCATATTCGTACATTCTCTAGCCAACTAAAATATTTTCGACAATGCGGTGTTGCCGCTTCTATTAGAAAGCAGTAGCAACTTTTATTTTTCAAAAGGAACACTCTGTATTTTATTACATTGTTAGATTCTCTCTGAAGAGCAGATTTCATCGATGTATCACACTTGGGGTCTAGCGAAAATGATTACAGAGATATAGGGTGTGAAAAATCGACATTTTTCAACTTTAGGAATTTTTTTTGTCGAAACTATTCATTATTGGTCAAAACGGCTCACATGTCCCTATCTCAACTTTTGATCAACTATCTACTAACATTTAATTGAAACAAATACAGGGTGGTGCAGAATTCAGAATCTTGATCACCCGGTATATGTCCCAATTAAATATCAGTAGATAGTTAATCAAAAGTTGAGATAGGGACATGTGAGCCGGTTTGACCAATGATGAATATTTCAACACAAAAAAATCCTAAAGTTGAAAAATGTCGATTTTTCACATCCTATATCTCTGTAATCATTTCCGCTAGACCCCAGACATCGATGAAATCAACTCTTCAGAGAGAATATAAAAATGCAATAAAATATAGAGTGTTCTATTTGAAAAATCAAAGTTGCTACTGCTTTCTAATAGAAGCGGCAACACCGCATTGTCGAAAATATCTTAGTTGGCTAGAGAATGTCCGAATATGCCCTCCATTGAATTTTCAAAATGATCCGTCGTCTGGTTCACCAGAAACGTCTAATGTGCCATCCACCGTGAATCAGCCTGTATTCACCTACCTTAAATAAATTACTTGTTACATTTACAAAAGATAAAATTTACGTGGTTGAATAATCGAAAATAGATACAATAGTTACTTGAATTCTATTTTTTCTTTAACTTGATAAAAAACACCTCGTATGAGATATTGTTTTGAAAATCAATATAGGAGTATTATTAGTTACTAGTCTGAATCGATTGCCTACATCAAAATCTTAGTAAAAAGTGCCTAATCCATTTCTCTGAATTTGCTGGAGTATCCGTGATTGCATTCGGCTAAGAAATTGTGATTGATAATTTTTTCTTGCTTGACGAAGTAGATTTGTACACGAGTGAGACCTTGGACCGCTTAATCAAGGACATACGGTGTTCTTGCTGCTGATTGGCTCAAATTTCAACCAAGTGGAGTCGCCGTTTCGACCTAGTAAACTTGCGGTGCCTCAGGATTTGGCCTTCAAAACTTCACGAGGAAACCATTTTTTATGCCAGAAGACCCTATGAACAGGATCAGCTCCCCTTGCTGATGCCACTGAGTACAGAATAAAAAATTATCCGAAATGACAAAGTTAGATGCAGGTAAAAATTTCTGACCACATGGTCTAATGAGATATCAGCCTACCATCCTATATTTTCAGTACATGACTATGTATTTCCTCTGAAAAGAACCATCAGGAAGTGCTACAGACTCATTCAAATACGAATGTATCGTCTTCAGGAATCACTAAGTTGATTAGCATACCCTACTAGAGCCTCTTGAGAACTTCCCGTTCCTGTTCATCATCAACCCTACCAATCAAGAGCTATAGCGCTCCTATATCACAGGAAGGTTTACTGATACTTTCTAGTGCTAAAATAGTTATTTATGTATCAAGGGCGTAAAGTAGTCGTTTATGGCCTGTGGCGTGAATAATGACCCGATGACGCTAGCCGAGGGCCATTACACGCTGAAAGCCATAAACGCATTTTACGCACGTGATACATACAAAATTTTATGCACTAGTGGTTTATTTCCCGAGTCACAAGTAATTACTAGATTTCAACAAACTACAATTCATATGTCACTCATGAATTCAGTTTTCAAGAGAAGCGCAATGTTTATGATTGTGTATAATCTATTATATTAAAATTACCGTACGAACATCGCAATTATCGTAAGAGTGAAACTCTTCGTTCACTAACAGAGATTTATTCCTTGAGATGTAACAATATGTATACCCAGTATATTGCTACCTAAATTTGACGTTGTCAATCAATCTGATGGTTGCTGTCTAGCAATACATCGAAAAAACAAGCTGAAATTGTCATCCTTTCGCTAGAAACTTCAGACAGCCAGAAAGCAACTATTCAAAGAACAAAGAAGGAAGTTATGGTGAACATGGAATCGGATGAACAATATAACATGTATCATAATCATAACGATAGAATCAGCTGAGAGTTCAAATATGGGTATTCCACAAATGGATGTGTGGATATAAGAGACTTGAGAACAGCGGGCGGTAAAGTGCACTTTATGGCTCGTGGGCGATAATATGCCCGCGGGCGGTAAAGTACTACTTTACGCCCGCAAATCCGGGCGATCAGGTTCACTTTAGCGCCCGCTAGTGCATAAACATAATTCTGACTCAGTTTGAAGTAGAGAAGTATGTAACGAGTCGACATTCTTTATCATCAGCCATGAGTCGAACATAAGGTCAGTACCTGATGGTGTAGAACAACTGATTTTACTGGAATCAATGTCCGGAATCGAAATATAGACGATGAGGCAAGAATTTCTACATAAACCGTTTCTCAGTAATGAAGTCCTCTAAAATACTTCATTACACTATTTGATTCAGTGAGTGAAAAAATGAACTTACCAGTTGTATGAAACTTCTTCAACGGATCCACTATGGCAAAAAACCGATCAGCCGACAATGCCGTCAAGGTGAAAACAGACACTCCGATGGATATGTCCTTGGCTGTCTCGGATATCTTGCAGATCAGCTCGCCCCAAGGCCATGACTCCATCGTGTAGATGATGGAGGTGAAGGGAACGCTGGTCAAAATGACTAAGAGGTCGGCCAGAGCCAACGAGAGAATGTACCTGTTGGAGGCAGGATGAATATAGCAACGTTCAAAGTTAGTTTGAATTCCAATAATTGTATAATTTTCCTGAGAATATAACAACTTTGAATTGTATTACCTTTGAGGAGACAATAAGGGAAAGCTGAAAAATGCTTTTCACAGTGTGCAGGAGTTTATCGATAGTATACCATTGATGAATGAAACAGTAAATTCTGGTAGTTTTTTCATGTTTGTTTGTTTGAGAATATGTCTTTGTTGTATTCATAAACAGGGTGTAGTTGAATAACACCGAGAAATCTCAGGGGTTGATTCCTTGAAATATTTGAGGAAATAAAGTTCATATAAACATGTGTCCTATTAACTTGCTTCGTTTTCGAATATTAATATTCCCATGAGAATCTCTTTTTTATTCATTTCTCAATTGTCTTATCATCAATTCCAATAAAACGTTGTGGTCTTGTTAATAATAATATGTATGTAGTGCAATTAGATTCGGAATAATATTTCCAGTGATAGTCATTGTACACCACCGATTTTTCTTCTTCTTCTTCAGTTTCATATCTTTATTAGATTGAACTATTGAAATAACAACTTTTTTTTTCTCTGTGTGATTTTTGTATACAGGCTGATCCACGGTGGATGGCCTATTAGAAGTATCTGGAGAACGAGAAGACAGAACATTCTGAAAATTGGAATGCTTCGATAATTGAACATTCTCTATCCGTCTAAAATATTTTCATCGATACAGTGTTGACACTTCTATCAGAAACAACTAGCAACTTCGTTATTTTGAATAGAGCACCCTGTATTTTATTGCATTTTTAGATTCTCCCTGAAAAGCTGATTCCATCAATGCATCACACTTGGGGTCTAGCAGGGATGATTACATAGATATAGGGTGTTCAAAATCGCGATTTTTCAATTTCAGGATTTTTTTGTGTCGAAACTATTCATTATTGATCAAAACGGCTTAGATGTCCCTATCTCAACTTTCGATTCACTATCTACTGACATTCAATTGGAACAGATACAGGGTGATCAGAATTCTGAATCTTGGAACACCCTGTATTTTTTTTCAATCAAATTCCAGTAGATAGTCAATCAAAAGTTAAGATAGGGACATGTAAGCCGTTTTGATCGATAATGAATAGTTTCGACACAAAAAAATCCTAAAATTAAAAAATCTCGATTTCGAACACCCTATATCTCTGTAATCATCCCTGCTAGACCCCAAGTGTGATGCATTGATGAAATCAGCTCTTTTAAAAGAATCTGAAAATGCAATGAAGTACAGGGTGTTCCATTCGAAATAACAAAGTTGCTAGTTCCCAGATAGCACACACTCGCCTAAGGTCATCCTCAATGTGTCGCCAAACGCCTGGAGAGGACGTTCTATTTTCTACAACCTAAGAACATCATCAGGCGTAAATTTAGCGCTGTAATTGTCCTAAATGAGTTCTTTCATTGACAGCCTCAGGATGTAAAGAATTTCGTGCCTACGGACGTCTTCAGATGACATTCCATGAAATCACGTGTCATCGAAGACAAAAGGAAGAAAAAGAAGAACTAGAATTGAGGTTATGTCTCATGATAGTCATGATTTGTTCAAGATACATCATAATATATTAATGATTATATCAAAATTATTAGAGTATTCATTGAATACCTTCATCAAATTTCTATTCCACAAAATGATTGCGAGAAGAACTTATTGCACAGAATTAAAAGATAACAATAACAAAAGGATGATAATCTTTGTTGATGACATTTCTCTCAGGTAGCAAGAAACAATGGTGAGTAAATACTAAATAGAATCATTGAACATGAAATATTAATACATTCATATACATTATTTATTGTTTCAGGAGGTTATTGAGAACACAAACTTGATGATATCATCATAGCAAATATGTTTTATTCCAAGATAGCTTTGCTTCTTCCGAATCTATAAAATATTGTATGGAAGCTTGAACTTTCAGTATGAATTCAATAAAGGTAGGTACCTGAATCAAATCATTGATATAGTAGGTTGTACTAGACATGGAATGTTAATAGGTTAATTATTTGTTTCAGATGAAGTTATTGAGAACACAAGATTGATGATGTCATCAGAGCAGAGATGTTTCATTCCAAGATATTTTTGCTTCTTCGAAATCTATGTGAGATTGCATATGCATGTTTGCATTTTCAGTATATTCAATAAAGGTAGGTACCTAAATCAAATCATTGATATAGTAGGGACTGGAACATGAAATATTAATAGGTACATTATTTGTTTCAGGAGGTTATTGATAACACAAAATGATGATATCATCAGAGCAGAGATATTTTATTCCAAGATATTTTGGCTTCTTTGGAAATTATGAAAGATTGTACATATGCAGACTTGAACTTTCAGTAGATTCAATAATGGTTGGTACCTATAACTACATAAATCATATCATTGATAGTGAGTACTGGACATGAAATATTAATACATTGTTTGTTTCAGAAGGTTATGCAAAACACAAACCTGATGATATTTTCATTCCAAGATAGTTTTGCTTCTTCAGAATCTATAAAATATTGCATGAAGGCTTCAACTTCCAGTTGATTATTCTGCATCAGGAATGTCCAGAGTTCAGAAATCAAAAACAACATGGAGAAATATAACTATCAATAGGCAATAACTTCTAGTAGTGCTCAACAAGAAGCTGAAATACATTTCTTTGAAAAGGAAATTGAAATTTTTCAGAATAAGTTATAAATAATAGAATGTAAGTTTTTCATTTGGTTCTTTATTCGAACCTATTATAAATAGAGGGAAATTTTGCAAATATCATGAGATCCATATTATTTTGAAGAAATTATCATTTGCATAATACAAGGTGAGTCAATAGTGTGTTATCCTTGTATATTAGCCAAACCATCAGATAAATAGAGAAAATTTAAGTACAACAGTAATAGGGTTTCATGAGAACTTTCACATTAAATTGTTTTCATATAGGTATATCTGTAGCGTGTTCGAATTCCAAGATATATTGACTGATGATTGTTTTTTTCCAAATGGGACACCCTGTATACTATTGCATTTTTAGGTTCTCCCTGAAGAGCTGATTCCATCAATGTATCACACTTGGGGTCTAGCGGGAATGATTACAGAGATATAGGGTGTTCAAAAACAAGATTTTTCAATTTTAGGATTTTTTTTGTGGAAACTATTCAATATTGGTCAAAACGGCTCACATATCCTTATAAACTTTCGATTTACTATCTACTGACATTCAATCGGAACAAATAGAGGGTGGGTTAACATTCAGAATACTGATCAGCTTATTGTATCTGTTCCAAATAAATATCAGTAGATAGCTAATCAAAAGTTATGACAGGAACATGTGAGCCGTTTTGACCATTAATGAATAGCTTCGACACAAAAAATCCTACATTTGAAGAATCTCAATTGTCAACATCCTATATCTCTGTAATAATTCCCACTAGACACCAAGTGTGATGCATTGATGGAATCAACTCTTCAGGGAAAACTCAAAAATGCAATAATATACAAGGTGTTCCATTGAAAAAAACCAATCATCAACCGATATCTTTGGAATTCGAACACCCTATAGATATGAAAACAACTTTAGGTGATTGTTCTTATGAAACCCTATTACTGTTGTACTTGAATTTTCATTTTATATATCTGACGGTTTGGCTAAAATCGGAGGAGAACACACTATAGTGACTCATTTTGTATACCAATAATATTCTCCCATAAATCTTGAACCTCCTTGAAACATCATCAAAAACCGCCTCAAGTTGTTACCGTGATGTCCTGAGATTGTCTCAAAAGATTTTATAGGGATGTTCTGAGACGTTATTAGTATGTAGAGAATGGTAACAGGAGGACGTCTTGAGAATGTCCTCAGGCTCGCTCTCGACGTCCTGAGGACATGATTGTGGACGCCTCAGAAGGGCCTCAAAAGGAATTTGTGCTATCTGGGTTGTTTCTGATAGAAGTGGCAACACTGTATTGATTTAAATATTTTAGACGGATAGAGAATGTTCAATTATCGAAGGAACCCAATTTTCAGAATGTTCTGTCTTTTCGTTCTCCAAATACTCCTAATAGGCAATCCACCGTGGATCATCTTGTATATAGCTTAGTTTTTGAGGAAACAACAAAGATTCGATTTGACTCCAAATTTTAATTCAGGTATTTTCAAGACTTCCATTGAGATTACTCAATAACCCCAAATAGAATCATTCTGAAATTTTGGGGCTTTCTAAGTCTCCATCTTCACTGAATTTTGGCACTATGGAAGCTTATATAGGGTGGTTATAAATAAAAGCAATTAATACTTGCAACTACATGCTCAAATGAACTTTATTTGCTAGAATGTCACGAGGAAACACCCCTCGAATTTTTTCAGTGTTTTCCAAATACACCGTGTATAAACAGTGTGTGTGTGATTTCAACCGGCAACACCCTCCTGATTTGGAACCAGTCAACCGATTGTCAAAAACAAAAATTCTATAATATAGTAGTATTGATAGAAGTAAAGTATGGTGTGCGTATTCGGCCATTATAACGTATTGAAAATTTCAGAAAAATCACTCGACCGGCCTACTATGATTTCTCTACGTCACAACGAGCGAGACGTTGATTCTACATTTTACCCTACTATATTATGGAATTTTCGTTTTTGAAAATCGGGCGACGAGTTGCAGATTAGGAGGGTGTTGTGGGTTGAAATCGCACACACTATTGTATTGTATTGATCATTTCAATGTTCTATTTAATTTTTATTTGCTCCACTGTTATTATTCATCAACCTATAACATCACGATGGTGGTGATATCTTGTTGGTGAAATTAGCAACACACAGTGTTTTTCATTATATTTTTGCCGTATAACAGTTCCAAGACTTCAAGATAAAATTAATCGCTAGTTGGGATTTGAGTTTATTCGACTTACGTATTAGGAACATTTCTCATATTCCTGTGCTTCAGAAATATAATAACGAGGGTTCCATTTCCGACTACTCCAATGAGGAAGATGAGAAAAAACAAGAGAGGGATTACGTAAGTCTCCGGTCTCTCTTTATACGGGATGATATCCGAAATGTTCGTCACAAGGTCGACATTATCCAAAGAGCCGTTAGAACTACAATTCGTCAATGAATTGTTCGTCAGGCTGATGTTCATGTTGCTGTTCCGGAAGCTGATGAGTAATGGTATTGAGTGCAATTGAGTCGACTCACTCGTCATATCGATCCTGAGTAGCTTTCATCTGAAACAAAAACAAAATTATTGTAACACCTTATTAAAATTGTTGCTAAGGTTCCAAATATTCTGGAAAACAACATATTCTCAGATATATTTTGAACATGAAACGAAATGGAAACATAGAGGAATATATTGAGAATTCGCATTCTCTATCTGATAAAAACATGGATAACTTTTCGGTATATTCAACAGTAACAACTATACTTCTTGACATTATGCCACGACGAAACATATAGGATAATATCTATTGAACACACAATAATAAGAAGTATAATACAATGTTCGTCGTAACCTATAAACAGGAATGATGTAGTTGTTTCGTGTATTTTTTCTGTATATTCGCATTAGATAGAGAATGCGAATTTTCAGTGTATGCTCTAGGTATCAATTTTTCCATGTTCATAATAACGAATACAAAGCTCATAGATTTTGACGATTTTTTTTGTGGAGAGGAGAGGCGTATTCTGGTGCCAAGCGGCATCTATCTTTTTGAGAAACCAAGGACAACTAGATCCAATTCAGAGGCTGAAGAACCAGAATTCATAATACCGGCTTTTTCAGAAAATAATGTCAATTCAGAATTTTTCTCCAAATTGTATGTTGATCATCAATTCATCGTACAACTCACGTTCCAAATATTCTTTTTCAGCAGTTGTCCAGAAAATACGCACTTCTGAAATGCACCCTCCTAAGGACATCGTCGTTGTCTCGTAGTGCGTCAACGGCATTTTGGATTCTGTTCCACAGCTGTTCGAAAGTATCAATTTGAACTTCATACACTTGTGTTTTCAACGCTACCCAGATGAAGAAGTCGCACGGATTCAAATTTGGAGACCGCGGGGGCCATTGAATAGGTGCTACCAATCCGTCTATCAGGAAATCGTCTGTTCAGATATTGTCTTACTGCACGTGCAAAATGAGGTGATGGTGCACCGTCGTGCATGAAAAACATGTTTCGACGAACATTGAGGGGCAAGTCCTCTAATAGATCTGGCAAAATTTCTTGAAGAAAGTGCAGGTGACAAGCACCATCAAGGCGATCTGGCAATCGGATCGGCCCAACCAAAAATGTTTCGATAAATCCGATCCAAACATAAATTTTGAATTCTCGTTGATAGTGTCTAGCTTCAATGGCATGTGGGTTTTCATCAGCATATACATGCTCATTGTGCAGGTTCGTCATGCCACGACGTGTAAAACAAGACTCATCAGTAAAAACAATATTAGTGTGGAATCAAGTCAAGTGGTAATAACTCTTGCACAAAGTGTATATGAAATTGATGAATCAATTGTTCTCTGCAGATCCGATTCACAGTGTTTTTTGGAATTCCTGTTTGTCGCTGCACAGATATGGTTCTTACCTCGGGATTGTCATTGAATATTTCAAGAGCAGCTTCTTCCGTATTAGGTCTTTGGACTCGGGGTCTCCCAGCGTTAATTCTGACTGGTTCCAACATTCCTGTTTCTCGAAGACGTCTCTCAATTCGGAAAAAAGTTTGATGATTCGGAATTCTCCGGTTTTTGATAGGTACCTCTCTTGGTATACGCGGCACTTCTGCGACAATTACCGCGACAGTATCCAAGAACTAAGATCATATCGGTCTGTTCATTATGAGAGAAATCCATATCTGAGAGCAGTTGAAATAACAACAACAATTTAATAATAATAAATGGTCGGTAATGGTTCTCGCGGTAATAAAAAAATTGAAAAATTTATTGAAACATTCACAAACAACGTCAACAACAAACTTGAATGACAATACATTTGTTTCCAGTCAAAATCACGACTTGCTTTCGTTTCCACTGCCAACTAAGTTTCATATCACAATTTAATTAAACTTGTACTATGGGAATATCTGGTAGCATTATTTAGAGAACTCTTCTTTTCTTCGAAACTATTCGGTATATGAAATTTTTACAAGAATACTAAAATGAAGGTAATTGATTAGTCTACAAGCTCAACGAATTTCAGAACCGTATTATGACCCCTAAAAAAGTTCTGAAAAAGGAGGTGAGGGTGGTTTTAACCCTTCTACAATTTCTTTTAGGTTTCTTCGATTATCATGAAAAGGACAGTAATCCTTTGAAATACACATTATTTGCCAAATTTCATCAAATTCGTTCCACTTATTTCTGAACAGTGTACAAAGATGTGTTTTTTTAATGTGAACTTTGAACCCTTCTCACAGTCAAACGGTACACTTTGGCACATAAATAAATTGGGTCCAATCAACTTATTTTCACCTCCTTTACAGATGCGTTACAGATGGTAGCTCTGTGTCCCAGCAATTTTGGGACACCCTGTAGAAAGAATTACTATTTTCATCACAAAGAGAATACGAGTAGGCTTCACAGATAAGTGATTGGAATTTGGAATGACCCATCAACTTGATGAACGTCATGTTTCGACATGAAAATGTTTCGTTGTCTACTTCCGGTTTCACCGGAAGTGGTTTTAACTTTAGATTTTCAAATGGAACACCCTGTATATCATTGCATTTTTGAAATCTACACCATTCTCAGGATACAATGATACCACATAAAAGACATTTCAAACTTCAATATTGATTTTAATTTCATTTTTGATTATGCATTTCATTGTATTATGGTTATACTCTGATCGAGTCTGATGAACTCAAAAATTCAATCTTGTCAAAAATGTGAAATTTCTTGATTTATAACCAAATTGAGTTCATCAAAATGGTTTGATGTACCATGATCCTGTTACAACCGGTATGTATCCACATTTTACATGTTCATATACAGGGTGGGTCACGGTGGATGGCCTATTAGTAGTATCTGGAGAACGAAAAGACAGAACATTCTGAAAATTGAAATTCTTTGATAATTGAACATTCTCTATTCGTCTAAAATGTTTTCATCGATACAGTGTTGCCACTTCTATCAAAAACAACTAGCAACTTTGTTATTTCAAATGGAACACCCTGTATTTCATTACAGTTTCAGATTCTTCCTGAGGAGTTGATTTCATCGATGCATCATACTTGGGGGTCAAGCAGAAATGATTACAGAGATATAGGGTATTCAAAATCTAGATTTTTCAATTTTAGGATTTTTTTGTGTCGAAACTATTCATTATTGATCAAAAAGGCGTACATGTTATCTACTGGAATTTAATTGGAAAAAATACAGGGTGCTTCAAGATTCAGAATTATGATCACCCTGTATATGTTTCAATTGAATGTCTGATCGAAAGTTAAGATAGGGACATGTAAACCGTTTTGATCGATAATGAATAGTTTCGACACAAAAAAATCCCAAAATTGAAAAATCTTGATTTTGAACACCCTATATCTCTGTAATCATTCCTGCTAGACCCCAAGTGTGATACATTGATGAAATCAGCTCTTCAGGAAGAATCTGAGAATGCAATAAAATACAGGGTGCTCCATTTGAAATAACGAAGTTGCTAGTTGTTTCTGATAGAAGTGGCAACACTGTATCGATGAAAACGTTTTAGACGAATAGAGACTGTTCAATTATCGAAGCATCCTAATTTTCAGAATGTCCTGTTTTTTGTTTTCCAGATACTTCTAATAGGCCATCCATCGTGACCCACCCTGTATAATATATCTGAGAATATGCTCTTTCGATGATGTGCTATGATACTTCCTAGTTTATGTGTACATGTTGAGAATCACCCTATATAGAAGTATGATAGATTGCTTCTCCTCATATTATTCGAACTTCATGTTTGTTTGAGTATACTTTATAAGTAATTGATAATATGACACTTCCATTATTATACTCGAATAATTCTGTATAGGTGTTATATTATTGAATCAAGTTTATAATGGGATTAGTGGAATATGACTATGAGGTCTTGAACATATGTCAACACATTAAACTTAGCTCCAAGATATACATGAATGCAACTATGACAACATTACAGCGACTTCCAACCGCCAACATAGTTTTCATAAGTTTATAAGGATAAAGTAGATTCGGAATAGATGTTCAGTGTTGGATGAGGATTATTCTCCAAAGGACCCTGCATATTTGGTATGGAAAATGGCGCTTGACTAATTTTTCTGAGAATTTCATATGTTTAAGATATTAGCGTCCTAAAATGGATTATAGAGTTGTAGGGTGATTTTTGAAGCAAAAAACTAATTGACAACACTAACACTTGGTATTTATATTTATACGAATGTCTGTTATTTTTTTATAAAAATAGATTTACAATATTTACTGATTCACATCCATTACATACATATAATATAAGAAATACTATTGTTAGCTATCCTCGTCATAAACTCACATTAACTGAAAAAAGTGCTTATTATATGTGTTTGAAAATGTTCAATAGTCTCCCGAACGATATGAAAGGTATAACCACTTAAAAAAATTTCAAGAAAGCAACTTCATGTTCGGTGTCGATATTGAACCTTACGGTATTCAAGATTACTTGGAAAATTGAAAATTGCCATTAATGTATGTACCCATCTAGACACTAAGTTACTGTTCCTTTGTCTTTGGCACTAGGTCACTTTTGTATCTTCAGACAATTAACATTTCTGTATTGTATTGTGAGTATGTCTCTGGAAGGGAGAGTATTATTATTATTATTATTATTATTATTATTTGAATTTATACCAATCCCGTCACGATCCTGCGGCCTCCGACGCCACGCAGAGTCGTACTGGATGAAATCCCCAGTGACTACTCCCCACTGTGGGGTGAATAATCACAAGTATGTCAAGTATGACGGCCTTCTGCATTCCACCATCCAGGATGTGTGCCTTATCACGGCACGCTGGGATTTTCTGGATCTCCGAGAGTAGCGTATGTCGTGTGCCTCCTAAGGAGCCGATTATCAGGATGACCAATTCCACAGAATGTTCTGGATAGAGCCTGCGGAGTTCGAAGCGAAGATCTCGATATTTTGTGCGTTTCTCCTCCTCCTTCAAAACGATGTTTGGTTCGGCTGGCGCCGAAAACTCGATCACGAACATCGCTTTGGATTGATGGTCGAGGAGGACTACA